CATGGTGCTTGTGGTCCCAGCTACTCAGGAGGCTGAGGTGTGAGGATCATCTGAGCTGGAATTCAAGGCTACAGCCTTGATCTCACCGGTGAATAGCTACTGCACTCTAGCCTGGGCAACATAGCAAGGCCCCAACTCTTAAAAATATTTTGTTTAAAAAAAAAAAAAAAAAAAAATTGGGGAAAGGGGTAAGAATTAAGAATTTAAGGCCAGGCTTGATGGCTCATGCCTGTAATCCCAGCACTTTGGGAGGCTGGATCACGAGGTCAGGAGATCGAGACCATCCTGGCTAACACGGTGAAACCCCGTCTCTACTAAAAATACAAAAAAAAATTAGCTGGGTGTGGTGGCGGGCGCCTGTACTCCCAGCTACTTGGGAGGCTGAGGCAGGAGAATGGTGTGAGCTTTAGGAGGCGGAGCTTGCAGTGAGCTGAGATCGCGCCGCTGCACTCCAGCCTGGGGGAAAGAGTGAGACTCCGTCTCAAAAAAAAGAATTTAAGCAGAGAAAAAGAAATGGATTTTGTGTGTGTACTAAAATAAACATAAGATTTACCATTTTGTAACTGGACATTTACCATTTATAACTGGACAGTTCAGTGGCATTGATTAAATTCATACCATTGTACAACCATCACCACCATCCATTTCCACAAATTTTTCTTCCTAAGCTGAAACTCTGTACCCATTAAACGCTAATCCCGATTCCTTGCTCCTCTAGGCCCTAACAACCATCATTCTACTTTCTGTCTCTATGAGTTTGACAATTCCAAGTAACTCATACAAGTGAAATGATACTGTATTTGTCCTTCTGTGTCTGGTGTATTTCACTTAGCATAATGTCTTCCATGGGGTAGCATTAATCAGAGTTTCCTTCCTCTTTAAGGTCGAATAATATTCATATTCATAGGGATGCCCCACATTTTGCTTCTCTGTTTGTCCCTCCATGGACAACTGGTTTGCCTCCAGCTTTGGCTGTTGTGAGTGGTGCTGCTATGAACGTGGGTGTGCAGATATCTGCTAGAAGCCCTGCTTTCACTGGGTTCTTCTTTTTAAAAGCTGTATAGAGCTTGTGTGGGCCCTTGAGTTTTTGACTGTTGGAGAAAATTGATCTAGGAGTCAAGGCCTTGGTTCTGTTCCTCACTGCCACGAACTCCCTGGGTCCCTGGAGCAGTCACACACCATCTCTGGGTCACTGTCTCCCCACGTGAGTTAAGGGAGTCCGTTCGCCTCTTGGGCTGTGCCCTGGGTGACTACACGTGGGACATCCTGTACCCAGACTCGGCACACTCCGCCTCTCCTGGCTTCTGTTTCCTCCTCAATGCAGTTACGAATGGGGCGGACTCTGGGCACGAGCGGATTTAACAGTCTCACTTTTGAGTGTTCTTGAGCAGCTCCACAGGCTCCTGATGTACAGAAATCTGTCACTCTGCTGAGACGTGCATTTGAACCGTAGCCACAGTGAGGGCAGTGCATGGGGGCAAGTCCTCCACTGGGGAGTCAGGCCGCCAGTGCCTAGTGTCCACCTCTCTGAGCAGAGTTGTTGGCTGCTCCTTGCCCTTTCTCTTTTTTTTGAGACAAAGTCTCGCTCTGTTGCCCAGGCTGGAGTACAGTGGGGCGATCTCGGCTCACTGCAAGCTCTTCCTGCTGGGTCTAAGCGATTCTCGTGCCTTGGACTCCCAAGTGGCTGGGATTACAGGCATCCGCCACCAAACCCGACTAGTTTTTTGTATTTTTTAATAGAGATGGGGTTTTACCATGTTGGCCAGGCTGGTCTCAAACTCCTGACCTCAGGTGATCCACCCGTCTTGGCCTCCCAAAGTGCTGGGATTACAGGCATGAGCCACCGCGCCCAGCTGTCCTTTCTTATGAACTGACTTTTATGAAATAGTAGAACTTTGGTGATCATTCGCGTGTGTGTCTGTGTGTGTGTGTGTGCGTGCGCACACGTGTGTATGTGTGTGTGTATGGGAGATAGAGTGTGTGTGTGTGTATGAGAGAGAGAGAGGGGAGAGAGAATGAGAGAGAGAGAGAATGCCTCTAAAAAGAGAGCTGACCATTGGGCTTGTGATGGAAGTAAAAGCAAGCAAGAAGTTTGTACCAAATAGATTAAAACTGGGCCCGTCTGACCCCACAGTTGTCCTACGGTACAAACAACTTCAGTCTACATTCTCTACAGAAATAAGATAAACGGTCTCAGACAGCAGCACACTTGCTCCCTTGAGTGATACAACTCTTGAGAATTTTGAAAAGGTGGCTCAGGAGAAGGCAGGAGACTATACAAACATTTCTAGGAAGCAGCAGATGGCGAAGGCACCGGCGTGGCTGCTAAACCAACCTTCTTTTCAAGTAAGGGCTGGTTTAAAATGTTTAAGATGTGGTTTTTTTTGGCAAAAGGTGCAGTTCAGAGGAATGAGCAGAACAGCTGTCTATCTCACGGCAGACAGGATTCCTCCTAAGCTCAAGAGGCTCCCAGAGGAGCAGAGGCACAAAGCCCAGGCTGTGGGTGTGTTGGGACCCAGGGCAGTTGTCCTTTTTTACCAGCTGGACTGAAAGTCATCTGAGATAGGCAATCAGAGAACAAAGAGAAGAAGCCAATCAAAGAAGGCCTTGAACAACTGGTAAAAACAGGCAAGGACGATAAAGACAATGGTGAGGACGTAGAAAAGACAAGTTGGGTCCCAACTTGTAAATCAAGCAAGTATTCCATTATGCTGAGCTGCCAGCACAGCCAACATCCGTCAGTGGGACGGAGCCTTTCTCAGCAAGTCCAAGAAATACATCTCCACTGGCACCATCCCAGGCCGTGTCTAAGAAGTTGCAAAAGGAAAGAATGACTAACAACATAGTTAACTTTAGTCAAGACTAATGAAGAGGGTGGGGAGAATGAAGAGAAACATAACAAGAACAACAAAAAAAGAATTAAAAGGAAGGTAATCAAACAGGCACAAGCAATGTAAAATATTTCTCCAAACAGCTAAATGTTAATGAATCAGGAGACCTGGATGAAATGCATTTTTGGGAAAAGTGAAAATGGAAAATATGCAACAACGAGAAAGAGAAGACTTGATTAGGTTAATAGCCGTTAAAAGTCACCCTAGCTAGGAGATCTAGGTCCAGGGGCCTTCAAGTCAGGGGTAACTTTCAGAGTCAAGATCATCTATAACTGTTGCAGGATAAGCAGAGAAGCTGATGAACTCACTTATGTGGTTAGTACAACATTGTTTCCAAGACCAGACAATTGCATTGAGAGGTAATAACATTTTAGCCCACTTCATTTATGACCATAGATGCAGAAGTCCTAAATTAAATGTTTAAAAAAAAAAAAAAGAAAAAAGAAGGGCCAGGCGCGGTGGCTCACACCTATAATTCCAGCACTTTGGGAGGCCAAGGCAGGTGGGATTGCTTGAGCCCAGGAGTTCAAGACCAGCCTGGGCAACAAAGTGAGACGTTCTCTCTACAGAAAATATTAAAAATTAGCTGGGTGTGGCAGTGTATGCCTGTAGTCCCAGCTACTCGGGAGGCTGTGCTGGGAGGAGTGCTTGAGTCCTGAGAGGTCGAGGCTACAGTGAGCTGAGATCATGCCACTGCACTCCAGCCAAAAAAAAAAGGAAAAGAAAAGAGGGACATTCATCCATTCATCATGCACATCAACTCAAAAGTTGTCATTCAATATGATCTTTAAGAAAAAGCCACCCTTAGTCTCCACTTATAGAAATCTCTTTCCCTATCCTTTGTATTCTTGGAATTGTCTCTCTGGCTGGGTATCTACTTCTTTATTGCCCCTCAGGACAATACCCAGGTCATTTTTTGTAGTCAAGGTTTTTGCTACAAATCAATAAAGCAAGGCAGAAAGTAATACCAAATAACTACAAAGAAAAGTTCCAAAAATCTCACCACGTTTACATCCTATCACGAGGGTTCTGGATTTGTAGTTCCAGACTTCTTTCTGAGATGGTAAACGGTGACCATGAGGTCGTAAACATACTCCTTCCTTCTGCCTGTCTGTCTGCTACCTTGCTCCCAGCTTGGAGACCCAAAGAGGCCTCCAAGACAGCACATGAAATCCCCCTGAAGGAGATGGTAGCTGACGTTTCTGAGGACCTGCAGCTCAACTGAACCTCTCGCAGCGCGGCCTACATCCCACTTCTCACTGCAAGAAAGCAGATTCTTAAGCTTACCTTCCCCGTGGAAGCTGTGTTGACCTGCAGGATGCAGAAGATTGGAAGCCAGAAACATCCTTCCTTAAGCAGACTTTCCAAATGTGGACAGAGCTGGGCCACTGGTTCACACACACTCTTGGTGCTGAGGGGTTCGAGGCACTTCTGGGGTCTAAGTCCTGTGGCTGCCATTCCTGAGACACTTTTCTGGAATTTCCAGCCTTGAGAGATGTGAAGGTAACCTCTTCCCTCTCCTCTGGCTTCTAGATATTTGCAAATAATTAATTAATGATTCAATCACTCCGTTCCCCAGGATGCACCAGGTTTCTTAGAATGTGTGTCATGGATCAGAAAGATGGGAGCATTAGGAGAGGACAGAGAGATGGTGCATCGGACAAAGGCTGGGCGACAGATAAGTTTTTATCTGGAGGATCTGAGAACCGGTTAATGAACACATCTGACCTTGGAGATGATTTCTGCTTTGCTGAGACAAAATGGAAATGAGTTATCTTAATATACCCCTTCCCTGGAGAGAGATGAGGGCGGCCTTGGCTGTGCGCCTCCCTTTTGAAGAATTTGGAAGTTAAATGCTTCTTTGAACATTCTCACCTCCAAAACAGACTAAGACTTAGCCTTTTCTATACCAAATGCTTGGCTCAGAGGCACCGCTAAGTACAGGGGGCTGACTAGGAAGCGTGTGGGGGAAGAGGACATGCGAAGTGGAAAGAAGTACCTGATGGCAGGAATCCGAACTCAAATGAACTAAGCTTGTGAAAAAAATGACATTGGAGTTTACCAGAGCCCTGCTGGTGTAATGACCTTTTGTTGAAATTATTTCTACAGATAATCACGGCTGGCTTATCAATATTGCTGTTTGAGGCGATCCTGACCAGTGCAACCACGGGATGGTAAGTCTTTTGCATAGAGAGATAAAGTGCCAGTTAGTTACTGAGTTTCATCAGGATGCTAAATTTTGCTCTCAAATGTTGCCGAAAGGGAGTGTGCGTTGGCTGTTTATCTCCATCCAAATGTAAATCTCATATTAGTGAAGCTTTACTTTAAAAAAAAACAAAACTTTTATTAACCTGTAAATGCAAATTCAGAAGAGTGCATATATCATAAATATACTACTTGATGGGTTTGTACAAACCAACCATTCTGTATACCATAACCAGCATCCAGAGCAAGAAACAGAACATCGCCCTCACTCATCCACCCCAGAACAGCTGCTGCTGGTCAACCACTATGTGTGTGTATATGTATATGTATGTATATGCATAATATGTATAATATAATATGTATAACAATATGTAATGTTTAGTAAACCACTCTACACACACACACACACACACACACACACACACACACAGTCAGCCCTTTGCATGAACAGGTTCCAGATCCTCAGATTCAACCAACTGTGGGTCAACGATGTAGTTTAGGCCTGCAATGGCTGCATCTGTACTGAACATATACAGACTTTTTTTCTTGTCATCATGTACAGTATAACAACTATTTACATAGCATTTACATTGTATTAGGTATTACAAGTAACCTAGAGATGATTTAAAGTATACAGGAGGATGTCCATGGGTTGTAGGCAAACACAACACCATTTTATATAAGAGATTTGACAATCCATGGAAGTCCTGGAACAGATCCCCTGTGGGTACTGAGGGGCAACTGTATATACACACACACACTACACACACACACACACACACACACACACACAGAGAGAGAGAGAGAGAGCACGTGCTGTGTCTTTCTTTTTCTTTGATTTTTCCATTAACTTTCTCTCAGACAAGCTCCAAATGATCTTGTTTAGAACGCACTACCCATTTGCATAAAGACAGCACGCCTCATAAGATACCTGAGCAGAGACCAGAAGAAAGTGAGGGAGTGAGCCATGGGGATGTTGGGGGACAGCAGTGCCAAGGGCTGGGGAGGAAGCAAGAAGACCAGGGGCTCTGGCCGTGATCTAGATGCAAGATGATGATGGCTGAGAACTGGCTGATAGCAGTGGAGGTGGGGAGACGTGGGAGGATACCTGAGGCACTAGGATTTGAGAGAGAGGAGTCTAGGATGACTTCTAGGTTTGAGGTCCGCGCAGTTGAAAGAATGAGGTTGCCTTTCACTGAGATGGAAAATGCTGTATGAAGAGCAAGGTGTGGCAAGGCGGTGGTGGAGGCGTATGGGGCGTTGGTTTGAATGTAGGAAGGTGCGGTGCCTGTTGGGCCACAGAGTGGAGATACAGGAGTAGGTTGTTTGCCAAATCTGCCTGGAGGTCCGGGGAGGGAGAGCCTTTCTGTGCCTTGGCCATGGCGGCGTATGTCTCCTCAGGGCTTCTGGGCCTGTCACTTCGTCCCAGATACCTTCCTCCCTGCTTTCAGTTGGCCACTACTGCTCATCCCCCAGGTCTTCAAATCGAGGTGACTTCGGAGAGGCTTCCCTGGCCACACCCTGTGCAAGCCCTACTAGCTTTTTCCTGTCGCCTTGCTAATTTCCTCCCTGACAGTTCTGACTGTTGTGACCAGATTCATTCCTTTCTGCCCATGAGGGTCTGCCTCCCTCCCAGAAGCAGTGCGCAGGACCCTGGGGGTATGCAGGAGACAGCTGGGTGTGGGGTGGTGTTCAACAGGGCAGACCGGGACAGGCAGGCTCTTCAGAAGGATGACTGAGCAGGGCAGATGGGGACAGGCAGGCTCTTCAGAAGGATGACTGAGGCAGGCGCATGGCCGTGGGGAGACACAGCGGGGACTCAGAATCCCAGGAGGTAGGTGTGGCCGTTGTGATGGTAGCTTCAGGACACACCTCCTGGAGAAGGCCACACTGCCCTGCCCCATAGCCCTCAGAGCCCGTGACTTACAAGGGAGGTTTGGGCCATGAGTAACACAGGGATGCACAGAGAAAGTACTGCTGTCGGAGAGGACCCAGCTGTGACCAGTGCCCCGGGCTCGCCCTCCACTCAGGCCTCGGAGCTCTCCATCTGAGACGGGAAATAGGCCTTCTGAACTCATTAGGACCATGTGCCTCTCATTCAAGGGCCAGTTGGTTATGACCACATAGGGACAAGAATGAAGTGATCAGGTGGGTTTCACCCTGAACTTTCTGCACAAAACCTGCCCAGGAGAGTTAAGAATGCTATCTATTCTGATTACTAATATTCAGACCAGTAGGTGATTATTACCAAGGGTTTGGGTTGTGGTCTGTAGGAAGGTGAGGGTGAGGGAGGAAGTAATGGAGAGTTTAAACGGTTAAAATAGCTCATTGCTGATGAACAGACATGCTTTAATTTGGGGAATATATATGTATGTACTTTTAAGCAATAGAGTAATGCATGCTATTTATAAGACATTTAAAACAATACAGAAATATGTCAAGTAAAAAGCGAAAGTCGCTCATCCTTCACTCCCTCAAACTCCTCTTGCCAGACATCGCCACGGTTTGGTTGAAGGGTGAGAACAGTGCTACATTTGGCCATGGATGTGTAACCCAACGGAGGTGGACTCTGTTCACCGTAGGAGGTGTTAGATCTGGGGGCCCAGCCACAACAGTGTTTCTGAAATGAAACCACACCGAGCAGCCCTCACACACATCACACATAAATAGTCTATTCCTTGGGCTGGTGACAATGTTTTGTTTCCTTCCCTGTGACCAGGGATAGCCTGGCCTCAATCCTGGATGCTGCACATTATGTAGAAAAATTCACATTTGTTGCTACTGCTCACTGGTCTTCTGTCCTTTGTTTTAAAAAGGAAAACAAGCCTAGGACCACTTTAAGATTGTGCTTATTTCCATTCTAGTTCCTATATATGACTTGGCAGATTTTTTTCCCCCACGGAATAGCACTATAAAATTGAAGTGCAGGCAAATTTTGGAATAGGTTTTTACATTTCTTTACCAGTATTATCAGGAAAGAAAAAGCATAGTATTGCTTAGCTTTGCTCAAATAAAGCCTGACTCTAGAAAATAAGTATTTTGGCCGGGCGCAGTGGCTTACGCCTGCAATCCCAGCATTTTGGGAGGCCGAGGCGGGCAGATCACCTGAGGTCCGAAGTTCGAGACCAGCCTGACCAACATGGAGAAACCCTGTCTCTACTAAAAATACAAAATTAGGCAGGTGTGGTGGCGCGTGCCTGTAATCCCAGCTACTTGGGAGGCTGAGGCAGGAGAATCGCTTGAACCCAGGAGGCGGAGGTTGCAGTGAGCTGAGACCGTGCCATTGCACTCCAGCCTGGACAACAAGAACGAAATTCCATCTCAAAAAAAAAATAAGAAGAAAGTAAGTATTTTTCCCGTGCCTGCAATCGGAGTAGTCCTAATAGCTAATCTTTCCCCTTCTTTTTTTTTTTTTTTTTTTGCATTTGTTTGCAAGTTGGACCTGCTGAGTTGTCACTTGCTTAACTCAAGGACCACCATGCTGCCTGGTGGGGGTCAGCACTGGTACCCAGGTGTGCCCAGGACAGCCTCCCATCTCCCAGGATTCTTCTGTAGATAAAATGGCCTTGGATGCTGACATAGCCACAGAAACAACAGTGTTATTTGTGAACATCAGCAGGAGATTCATATGGGATAAGTGTGAGGGGCAGGACCAGTGGCCCTGTGGAATACCATGATGGGGAGTCTAAGAGGTGAACTTGCATCTTGTGTGGCCTTGGGCTGGAAGGGGTTCCTTCAGTAAACAGACATTTATCAAGTGCCTCATATGTGCCAGGAACCATTCTTGGATAAAAGTCAAAAATCACTGCCTCTGCAGTGTCTACAGATGCTCATTGCCCTGCCTGAGGGCAGGTCCATATCTGAATCATCCTAGATGGACAGAAATGAATGGTTTTGCTCACTGCACTCAGAAAATGGAATTTCTTTTTTCTTTTTTTTTTTTTTTTTTTGAGACGGAGTCTCGCTCTGTCGCCCAGGCTGGAGTGCAGTGGCCGGATCTCAGCTCACTGCAAGCTCCGCCTCCCGGGTTTACGCCATTCTCCTGCCTCAGCCTCCTGAGTAGCTGGGACTACAGGCGCCCGCCACCACGCCCGGCTGGTTTTTTGTATTTTTTAGTAGAGACGGGGTTTCACCGTGTTAGCCAGGATGGTCTCGATCTCCTGACCTCGTGATCCACCCGTCTCGGCCTCCCAAAGTGCTGGGATTACAGGCTTGAGCCACTGCGCCCGGCCAGAAAATGGAATTTCTAACCTTTCTCAGGAGTGCCAGTGGGGGCATTTCCTGCCCCAGGAAGACAAATGGAAGGAAAAGAAAAATTAGAAAATGTTCCTGCCGGGCGCGGTGGCTCACGCCTGTAATCCCAGCACTTTGGGAGGCCGAGGCGGGCGGATCACGAGGTCAGGAGATCGAGACCATCCTGGCTAACACGGTGAAACCCCGTCTCTACTAAAAATGCAAAAAATTAGCCGGGCGAGGTGGCGGGCGCCTGTAGTCCCGGCTACCCGGGAGGCTGAGGCAGGAGAATGGCGTGAACCCGGGAGGCGGAGCTTGCAGTGAGCCGAGATTGCGCCACTGCACTCCAGCCTGGGCGACTGAGCCAGACTCCGTCTCAAAAAAAAAAAAAAAAAAAGAAAATGTTCCTACACCTTCCTCTTCCTCCTCCTGCTGTGTCTTCCTCTTCTTTTTAATAATAATAACTAACCATTTATTGGGCAACTACTGTGCCTCAGACATTTGTTACATTAATAGTATCTCATTTACTTTTACGACAATCTTCCGAGTTATCCCTATTTTAAAGATGAAGAAGCTGAGGTCCAGAGATACTTATTTTCCCAAGATTTTATAGCTACTAGGCAATTGGACCAGATTTCAAACCCAGGTCTCTGTGTGTACAATGCCCCGTAACCTGCTAGAACTGAATTGAAAAACACCAAGGATTTACAGCAGTGCAGATAATGTACAGGCGGAA